AGTAAAATTACTGCACTTGCCATGAACCAACCGCTTTTCTGCACTCTAGGGCTACTGTATGTAACAAGACAAGCAGGACCTGTGTAGTGAAGTAAGCTAGACAGCGAGGTAGTGTCTGGTGGCTCATGTGAAAAGGTAACAGGGATATGATTGGAGACAGCTGGAAAGCAATCCAAAGGGTGGGGTCAGAAAAACTCGAAAGAGTTGAAGTGGAAGCTGAGAGCTGAGTGACAAGAAGGACAGGCTTTTGAGGATCTGGGGGACATGATACCAGGTGTCAGAAACACTTTGTCCAATGGCTTGACTTGGAACATTCAAGGAACAAAAAAGCGAGTGAGGGAGAGAGTGAAACAGACAAGTTTGGAAAGGTTGGCAGGAACAGGAACATAGCCTGTAGCTTGGGTGGAATGGGAGCCCTGGGAAGATAGTGAGCAAGAGAATGAAATGATTGGGTTTCTGTTTTTGAGACTTAGTCTGGCTAAGTAAGGATGCTCTGGCTGTAGTTGAGGATAAAGATGATGCTAGCTTAGACTAGAATGGTTATCAGGGGAAAGAGAGGTGGAAGAAATTAGAATGTGCTCTGAAGGCAGTATCAATGGAAAAATCAGGAAAATATCTGTTTGTTTTTATTTTTAAAGAATTATTTCTTTAATTGTATTTATTATTATTATGTCTCAGTTTGACCAGAGAGAGAAAGCAAGTCACCAGGTCCGGGACTTGAACCACAGTCGGCCATGTGGGGATCCAGCACCTTAACCGCCACACCACCTGCTGGCCCCAATACCTGGCTTTTGTGTAAGAAACATGTCATTGTGGCTGGGAACTTAGAGGAGAGGGTAAGTCCACAGATACAGTGTGGACACCATTGGCATAAATAAATGCTATTTACCATTGAGAGTGAGTATGTGTTTATAATAATGAGGGACAGAAAAGATTGTAAGATGAAGGAAACCTGAAGATAAGAATTGTGTATGCTATCATCTGGAGGCTCCAGGAAGTACAGTGGGAGCTTCAGCTACCCAGAGGTAAATTGGACAGAAGCTTTATGTAACGGTGCACCCAAGGCAGCTTGCCTGTGTCCTCAGCGTGTCTCAGTCAATTTCTCTTCTGAATCTCCATGTACTGTCAACAGCCTGTTGTAAAATGATGTCCCCAGATAGTGCGCAGTCCAGAGGTGCTTGCTGAAAACCCAACTTCAATGAAGTAAAAGAGGCCGTATTCATGACGGCCTCTTTTCCCCAAAACACCAAGTACCCTGACCTCTTTCTTCCATGAGAGACTTTAGAATTGGAAGAGTTATTGAAATCTATTTGTCTGTACTCCCCAGGCTCAGTCTTCTTCCCTTTCCCCATATAAGAAATTGCCCAATCTAGAACCCTCATGGTTGTTTCAGACCTGTCAAAACCCACATTGATTTGATGACGCAAGTCTAGCATTTCTCCTCCTAAGTATTTCTTGGCAATGTTGGTTTGGTTCTTCTTCACTCCACATGACTGAAATATTACTCCAAGCTCCTAACTGGTCTGTTAAGGTTGATAATATTTCTTCTTCCTTAAATCCATCTAACCTTCACCATACCTGCTGTGAATGTGGTAAGTGCAAATGGCCCCTCTCTACCACTCTGCTGTGGTTGACCATCATGTAGAAGGCCAAAGCCCTTAATACAGCAAGCGAGGCTGTGACTCTTTTCCATTTGCCATCTCACTTCCCATCATTTTTTCCTTGTCCTCATGGACCCTCAGTTCCAGCCATAGTGAGTTTGTCATGTTTTCCCAGACATCACAAACTGCTGTAGTCTGTCCTTTCGGTATTAAAAATTTATTTAGCTCGTGGTTTTGGAGGTCTTACTGGTGGGGTCCCAAGGCCATACAGAGCATCACATTTCGAAGGAACAGGAGCATACGCCTGTGTCCATATGTGTCTTTTTCATTCCAAGACTTAGTCATGACTCTGCCCTCTTGACTAATCACTTCTCAAAGACCCCACCTTTCAGCACCATAATCAGATTAAGTTTCTTCTTAATACAAAAATACAGTACGGCCAAATTTCAATCCTGAGTTTTAGGGAGAGATTCAAACCTTGACACCAAGAAACCAATTTGGAAAAACTCAGTTTAAAAATTCTCTTCCATAGAGATGAGCAAGTGGTGCAATGATTAAGGTACCGGACTGGATCCACTGGCTTGAAAAATCAAGCCAGGCACTGTGCGCATGCATGCTCAAAATCCCAAGAAGAGAATGGAGAAGGGATTGAGGCCTGGCCATCCCCCTGAGTTTTTTAGGGGTTTTTGCTATAGGGTGCATGCACTTGCCAGAAAGACAGAGAGAGACAGAGAGACAGAAAGCAAGAAATCACCCGCCCCAGGGGGGATGGCCAAACTGCAATCCCTTCTCCTACACTCTTCTCTCGGGATCTTGGGCATGCATGCACATGCACCTGGCGTGAGTTTAAGCCACCGGGTCTGGGACTCGAACTGTGGTCAACTACATGGGAGTCCAGCAACATAGCCATTATGCTAACTGCTGAAAAAACTTTCCCTCTCTGGTCAAATTAAAATAAATAAATAAATAAAGTTAAATAAAATAATTCTTTAAAAAATGAATTCCCATGTCCAATAGTAAAAGGAAAAAAAAAAAGAAAAAAAAGGCAGGACCACTGAGGATTTAGGCCTTACGGAAACAAAATTTTGGGTCACGTCACTTGACAAAGACTACTAGCCAGCTGAGAGCAAAGGAAACATGGAATGAGAGTGGAAGCAGGAAGTTTAATACACTATCCGTGGTGTCGACCCCATAGCCTAATGGGTGGAAGAGCCAGATTCCTTGCATGACTAACTGCATGGCTAGAATCTCAGCCCTAGTGACTGGAGAAATACCTGGTGCATGTACGTGCATGTCTAAAACCCAGGCAGGATGAAGAAGCAGAAGAGAAGGGATTGTGGCATGACCATTTTCCATTGGAGGGGGGGTACTCTCTTCTCCTTCTCTCAGTCTCTCTGTCCCTCTCTGAAGAGCACATGTGCCCTCTGGCAAAATAGAAAACAATATATACATCAACTATGACCTTTTAGTTCTGTAATTGTGGCCAGTTACAGAAATGCAAACTTGCAGCTATGCATAATTTCTTGCTTTCTGTCTTTCCTTGGGTTTCCTTCCTTTTTTCTTTTCATATGTCTATTTAGCTACTGATTTTTTTTTTTTTGGAGAGGTTTTTGCTATAGGGTGCATGCACTCACCAGAAAGACAGAGAGAGACAGAGAGACAGAAAGCGAGAACTCCCCCCCCAGGAGAATGCCCACTCTGCAATCACTTCTCCTCCATTCTCCTCTCGGGATCTTGGGTATTCACGCACACGTGCCTGGCGTGAGTTTAAGCCACCAGGTCTGGGACTTGAACCGTGGTCGACTACATGGGAGTCCAGCAACATAGCCATTATGCCAACTACTGGTTCCGTCTACTGATTTTTTTTAACCTTACCTCTTTGTTACCTTTATTATGTATTTATTTTTATTTAATTTTATTTATCACCATTATTATTTTTAATTTGCTATAGGGCACATGGTCTCACCAGAGAGAGAGAGAGAGAGAGAGAGAGAGAGAGAGAGAAAGTGAGAAAGCAAGCCACCAGGCCCGGGTTTCCAGCTGTGGTCGGCAATGTGGGAATCCAACATCTCAACCACCATGCCACCTGCTGGTCCCATTAAAAAAAAATAATAATTATTTAATTAATTTATTCATTCATTCATTCATTTATTTTGACCAGAGATGGACAGAGAGAGAGAAGTGGAGAGTGAGAAAGCAAGCCACCAGGTATGGGACTCGAACTATGGTTAGCCATGGGGAGTCCAGCTCCTTAACCACCACACCACCTGCTGGTCCCCCACACCTTTATTATGTATTTATAAATAAAAATGTTCTGAGTAGACTCCATCTATTTCTCTACTGCCCCCCACCCCATCAAAATCACAATTTCTTGTGCATTGCAAGAGGAGACAATAATTAGGAGACAGCAATAATTATAATAGTTGATGAGTGTGCAGTAAAAAAAAAAAAAATGACTAAATGCTTAGATGACCACACATAAAGATTACAAAGAGGTGTATGTGAAGGGACAGACAAAATGGCATGACGTGTCATTTTAACTCCATCCAATCAGAACATAGATAATGAAAGTATTAACCATGTGGATAACTAAGGACCAATCAGTGGAAGAGAGACTTTGTGGATCTATCTTTTCATTCCAATCTTTAATTTGCTGTGGTGCTTATAATGCAAGGGTTCAGACCAGCTCCATAGCTTAGTAGGTTACAGGAACTACATAGCATGCGGCTGACTGCGGTTCAAATCCCAGCCCCAGTGACTTGAAAAACGTTGAGAGCATGTACGTGTGTACCCCATATCCTGACAGGATGGAGAAATGGGGAGAAGGGGTTGCAGTGTGACCGTGTCTCACTGGGGGGCACTTTCTCCCTCTCCCTCATGCTCTGCCTCCTGTGTTTTCCTGTCCAATCAGAGCCCTCATGTATCTGGGAAGTGGGGTTGCCCGTGGGTTCACAAGGCTGGGCGTCAGACGCCTGGCTCTCGTCACTAGATACGTGAGCGAGCAAGTGTCTTTGTCCCCTGGTTTGCCCACCTGTGGCATGGGACTTCTGATAATAGCCCACATATATGAGGGGTCTTCAAAAAGTTCACGGAGAATGTGTATTATGGAAAAAACTATGCGTGAATTTCACTTTTTTTTTTCTTGACCAAAATAAGCCCATACTTTAGTTCTGTTTTTCCATAAATTCCCTGAAGTCCCCTCAGAGCCGGGCAACTGCTCTGATCCAGGTACTTCCTGTTCATCTGATTGAATCCTCACCATGCTCACTGGGAAACCGGTCTTATCATTACAGACTTTCTTTTGAAAGAATTATTTATTTAATTTTATGAGTTATTATTCATTTTAAATTTGCTGTAGGGCCTGTGCACTCACCAGGGGGAGAGAGAGAAAGTGAGAAAGCAAGCCGCCAGGTCTGGGACTCAAACCACGGTTGATCCTGTGAGGGAATCCAGTACCTCAACCACCATGCCACCTGCCAGCCCCCTACAGACTTTATTTTCACCTGCACCTTACAGGGAGGAAACACAGGCACCGGGAACTTGAAAACTGTGTTGGAGTCACCCAGAGCTGAACAGCAGAGCTAGGATGGGAGCTCAGGGGGTCTGGCTCCAGAGTCAGGGCTTCTGCGAGGCTAACCATTAGTTCCCCTGGCCGAGACAGTCATAAAGACACCAGCAAAGTTCCTCCTAGAGCTGGGACCAGGAGTTCAGGGAGACCAAGTCATGGGCACCTTGTAAACACCTTGTGTTTACAAGAACTGCTCTTCATGGTGGCAGGATGGGGCACTTTCTCCTACCCTATATGCTGCTGACATATCCAGTCTCTCAGAGGCCTGCTGACCAGTGAGGGGCAGGGCAAGGAGGAAAGCAGAGGAGAGACTTGGAGGGTCAGGAACACCCCTCTTGTATTGATTGACATTCTGCAGTGAGCCACACCAGAGGGGCCAAAGCCGGGAAGAGGTAGAGGGGCTTGTGTCCTGCCCCCAGCACTATGGAGGGGCTGTCCTGTCTATGGGGAGAGTCCCCCCAGGGGGCCTCCTAGCATGCTGACCAGCAGGGGAGCTCCGAGGAGCAGAGCCCAGACGTGGGACGCCCGAGGAGAGGCAGAGGCCGAAACTGTGCTGAAGGACTGGGTCTTGGAGTCGCCGTTGCAGAGGTTCCCCTCGCAGCACGAGCCCTGGAGCTCGATGTTGGTCCAGGGGCTGGTGGTGCCCATGGTGGTGCAGGAGGGGCGGTGGCAGGTTCTGATGTACACGGGGACTGAGAAATTGCCTGGGGGTGGCAGCGATAGTGAGGCGAGGTCAGCACGGAAGGAGGCAGCTGCACTAACCCTCCACCTTAGAGGCCTAGGCCATGCCTGGGTCCTCGGGTTCACTTGAGCTTTCCCTCTTCAGACCAGGGCTTTGCCTCCACCCGTCAGGGGGTCTGGCCCGGCCTCCACGTCCCTAGCCCAGACCCTCCCACCCTTCCAGCCTCTCACCAGAGGTCATTCGCCCACTGCCCTGGAAACAGACACTCTGGTCCTGGTGACACTGGACTCGTCGGGACTTTTCAGGGGTGCAGTCCTCCGGGTGGATCCCCGCACAGGCGTAGCATTCCGTACCGCTGAGGGTTGGCGGGTTGGGCGCTGCGGAGAAGAGAGCGTAGACGCGTGCTCGGGTGCCCTGTCTTGCAGGCTGTGCCCTGCACCAGGACGCCTGACTCCCTCCGTTGGAATCCCAGGCGCACGCGAGGACGCGCTCAGCCACACCCCCTCCCCGCCCGGGCGGGGTCAGCCGGGCAGAGCCACCCCCAGGCCCTGCCGGTCCTGCGCCCGCCCAGCCCTCCCCCTGGCTCACCCGGGCTCAGGTTGGGGAGGGCGTCGTGAGTCAGGAGGTCCGTGTTGCACTGGTCAGTCGTGCAGCCGCGCACCACGGAGAAGTCGGGCGGCAGCGCTTCCTGGTTCGACTGCATCTGGCCCTCGGTCGGGCCTGTCCAGCAGCCCTTCTGTACCATGGTCACCGGTGTGCGGTACCCTGGGGCGAGAGGGGGCTCGTGCTCTGCCTGCCGCAGCGCCTCTCCCGCTAACGTCTCCTTCCTCCCTCTGCTCCTCTGGCTTTTCAGCTACTCCTCCTGCCTCCCTCCTTCTCTCTCATTACCACCCCCTTCCTCCCCCTATTTTCTCTATCCTGGCCTTCTTTCTGCTCCTCTCTCACCCTCTCCTCCTGGCGTCCGCCTTCTTTCTGCTCCTCTCTCACCCTCTCCTGGCGTGACCACTGTGTCACCCACCTTGGCCCTTATCTACCTTTCCCTCCCTCCCCCTTCCCTCCACCTCTGCTCTCCCTCCACCTCCTATAGTTCTATCATCCTTCCTCTCCTCTGCTTTCACATCCCTTTCCCTCTCTCTCCTCCCCTCTCCTCTCCCTCCCTGTTTCTTGACCTGCCGCCCTCCCCCACCCCTTCCTCTTCTGTACACCATGTCCCTCACCAGTGTCCAGGGACAGGACAGCCTCAAAGCATCCGCGGGAGCAGGAGACATTGGGGAGCTTCATGCCACTGAGGTCAAAGGGGCCGAGGTAGATGTGCTCAAAGCTGTAGCACTGCAGGCCCTGCGACCCTGGAGGGAGGGGCCAGGTCAGCAGGGCCAGGCTGGGATATCCTAGACACTCGGGACTCCACCCTGCAAGTGATCATCACGTGGCCACACGTGACCAGGCCCCTTTGCTCTAAGGGAAGACTGGGGAGAGCCCAGGTCTGCTGTTATGACTGGTCATGGCAGTGTCTGTCTCATGGCAGAGTAATGACCTCTCCGAAGCTGTTGGTCCAGTTTTTCCGCTCCAGGCTGTTCTAGATCTCCACCCTCATCCAGGAAGTCCTCTAAGATTTAGATAAGGGAGGAGGAAGTGATTCAGCCCTGCTGTGCCCATTCCTCCCCACTCTGAACTTGCAGAGGACCGGAGCACTAAGACCACTGATGGACACGCACCCTCCAACATGGGCTTGGATGGCAGTCTCGGACTAGAGTCACGCACAGCCAGGCGGCCCAGCAGTACACGAGCAGGACAGTCAGACTGACGGAAACACGAAGTCCCACTCGACGCTGGTTTACGCCAAGCTTGCGAATATAGACAGAACGTCTTGAACACGTCCATACAGTGTCCATTCACACACAGAAAGAGCCCTGAGCTGGGCCCTCCGACGTAATTCCCCCAAACCAAGCCACAGCGCATCACGCGGGGAAACCATGGAGACACCAAAGCACTTGTCGGTGACGAAGATTTTGCATGTGTGATAACAATACCAATGCACAGAGGGGTCAGAGCACAGGAACTCAGACCCAGGGAGGCAGATACAGTCCCTCGAGTTTAAGACACACACAGCAGAAGAGAGCCTGCAAAGACGCAGAGTTAGAGATGCATGGCAATGAGACCACAGAAACATGCAGTTAAAATTATACAAGGACAAGGCCAGCAGATGGCGTAATGGCTATGCCGCTGGACACCCATGTAGTTGACTGCAGTTCAAGTCCCAAACCCAGTGCCATAAACTCATGCTGGGTGCGTGTGCGTGCGTGCCCAAGATCCCGAGAGGAGAATGGAGGAGAAGAAGGGATTGTGGCGTGACCATCCCCCCGGGGGGGTGATGTCTCGCTTTCTGTCTCTCTGTCTCTTTCTGTCTTTCTGGCGAGCACGCGCGCCCTATAGCCAAAACCTCTCCAAAGAAAATTAAATTATTCGTGGATACAAGACAGACACATGCGACACAGATATACAGAAAAACAGACCGAAATACCCAAACACGTTGTTAAATGAAAATTATGGGAGGCTATTGTTTTGGAGTAAGCTTTTGCACTAGGTCCCAATAGACCAACCTAAAAATCCAAATGGGGGGTGTGGGATGGACAGTTGGTGCAGCAATAAAACATGAGGCTGTGAGGCTGACCCAAAGGGGGAGGTATTGGCTTTGTGTCCTGAGACTTGCCAGGGTACACCAGACACGTGACTGTGTTCAGGATTCAGGGCTAGCTGAGGCTGAGGGTGGATCACAGCATCAAGACCCTGTTGAGGGTGCTGTCTCTCTGTCTCTGTCTCTCTCTCATAGAAGAAACAAACTTTACAAACAAAATAACAGTCACTCATATCTCCAACGCCAAGCCAAAAAGCTCAGTTGGCCCTTGACTTTCCAGGAAATCAGGAGAGAGAGATGACAGCCTTGTTTCCCAAACAGGCCAGTTTTAACCGGCGTGATATTAGAGTTCTCTTTTTCTTCTTCTTCTTTTTTTTTTTTTTTTTTTTTTTTTTTTTTTTTTTTTAGAGCACATGTGCTCACTAGAAAGACAGACAGAAACCCCAGGGGAATGTCTGCACCGCAATCCTGTCTCCTCAATTCTTCTCTCGGGATCCTGGGCACACATGCACATGTGCCTGGCATGAGTTTAAGCCCCTGGGTGCAGGACTCAAACCATGGTCAACTACATGGGAGTTCAGTGACATAGCCATTATGCCATCTGTTGGTCCCAAAGTTCTCTTTTTCAAATGTTTGCACAAAAGTGTAACCTAAAGTAACCTGATGTTAACTAATCAGTTATTTTTCTATTGTTCCGTCTCCCCGTCCAGCCTTACACGAAAAGTAATGTTGAAATGACCGTTTCTGCTTGCTTGCTTGCTTTTGAGAGGTTTTTGCCATCGTGCACATGCACTTGCTGGGGAGAAAGAGACAGAGACAGTGAGAGGGGAAGTGAGAAATCACCCTCCAGGGAGGATGGCCATGTCATAATCCCTTCTCCTCTATTCTCCTCCTGGGATCTCAGGCATGCATGCACACACACTTGGCATGATTTTGAAGCCGGTGGGTCCGGGACTCGAACCATAGTTAGCCCTGTGGGAGTCCAGCGATGTAACCACTACGCCAACCTCCTCTGCTCAGCTCACTGAGGCCCTTATTCTATTGTAAGGAGTGAAGTGTGGCCTGATTCTAGGATCACAAACTCACTAAGCTCTTTAAACGTTTGTAGCTCTGTCTTTTACACGGATACACACAGAGACTCACAAACACAAGAGTGACACTGGTAGACAATTACACGTCCAGCTTTTTCACAAGGAAAACAAAGCTCGGAGATAGAGACCCACCCCAACATTTGTTCAAACACCCAGATACCAAAATACATCCAAGGACAGAGACCCCAAGGACACCCTGACACACGGACATATTCAGAAATCGAACTCCGCCATGGAGGAGCGCGTGCGCACGATTCGCTGTGCGCAGGGACAGCTTCCTGCCCACCGTCCTCAACCTCTCTTCGTAGTAACTTCCGTTCTGAAATGAGTGTGTCCCAGTTTTAGCCCATAATGGGGAGAGAGACTGCCTGAAGATGAGGCCAAGGTCCCTGCCAGTTTAACAAAGAGTCCCAATAGCTCCCCAGAACTATCCTTGAAAGGAGGTGTTGGGGTGGGAGGGTGGAGAGGGAGGGTAAGAAAGGCTGGAGTGGGCTGAGAGACCGCAGAGAAAGAGACAGATGGGGAAAGAGAACAAAGCCACCAGGTCCCCTCCCTAACCAAGACCCAGGGATCCAGGCCCCCAGCCCTCCTCCCCCAGACCCAGGACTCCAGGCCCCCAGCCCCTCCTCCCTCAGACCCAGGAGTCCAGGCCCCCAGCCCTCCTCCCCCAGACCTAGGAGTCCAGGCCCCCAGCCCTCCTCCCCCAGACCTAGGAGTCCAGGCCCCCAGCCCTCCTCCCCCAGACCTAGGAGTCCAGGCCCCCAGCCCTCCTCCCCCAGACCTAGGAGTCCAGGCCCCCAGCCCTCCTCCCCCAGACCTAGGAGTCCAGGCCCCCAGCCCTCCTCCCCCAGACCTAGGAGTCCAGGCCCCCAGCCCTCCTCCCCCAGACCTAGGAGTCCAGGCCCCCAGCCCTCCTCCCCCAGACCTAGGAGTCCAGGCCCCCAGCCCTCCTCCCCCAGACCTAGGAGTCCAGGCCCCCAGCCCTCCTCCCCCAGACCTAGGAGTCCAGGCCCCCAGCCCTCCTCCCCCAGACCTAGGAGTCCAGGCCCCCAGCCCTCCTCCCCCAGACCTAGGAGTCCAGGCCCCCAGCCCTCCTCCCCCAGACCTAGGAGTCCAGGCCCCCAGCCCTCCTCCCCCAGACCTAGGAGTCCAGGCCCCCAGCCCTCCTCCCCCAGACCTAGGAGTCCAGGCCCCCAGCCCTCCTCCCCCAGACCTAGGAGTCCAGGCCCCCAGCCCTCCTCCCCCAGACCTAGGAGTCCAGGCCCCCAGCCCTCCTCCCCCAGACCTAGGAGTCCAGGCCCCCAGCCCTCCTCCCCCAGACCTAGGAGTCCAGGCCCCCAGCCCTCCTCCCCCAGACCTAGGAGTCCAGGCCCCCAGCCCTCCTCCCCCAGACCTAGGAGTCCAGGCCCCCAGCCCTCCTCCCCCAGACCTAGGAGTCCAGGCCCCCAGCCCTCCTCCCCCAGACCTAGGAGTCCAGGCCCCCAGCCCTCCTCCCCCAGACCTAGGAGTCCAGGCCCCCAGCCCTCCTCCCCCAGACCTAGGAGTCCAGGCCCCCAGCCCTCCTCCCCCAGACCTAGGAGTCCAGGCCCCCAGCCCTCCTCCCCCAGACCTAGGAGTCCAGGCCCCCAGCCCTCCTCCCCCAGACCTAGGAGTCCAGGCCCCCAGCCCTCCTCCCCCAGACCTAGGAGTCCAGGCCCCCAGCCCTCCTCCCCCAGACCTAGGAGTCCAGGCCCCCAGCCCTCCTCCCCCAGACCTAGGAGTCCAGGCCCCCAGCCCTCCTCCCCCAGACCTAGGAGTCCAGGCCCCCAGCCCTCCTCCCCCAGACCTAGGAGTCCAGGCCCCCAGCCCTCCTCCCCCAGACCTAGGAGTCCAGGCCCCCAGCCCTCCTCCCCCAGACCTAGGAGTCCAGGCCCCCAGCCCTCCTCCCCCAGACCTAGGAGTCCAGGCCCCCAGCCCTCCTCCCCCAGACCTAGGAGTCCAGGCCCCCAGCCCTCCTCCCCCAGACCTAGGAGTCCAGGCCCCCAGCCCTCCTCCCCCAGACCTAGGAGTCCAGGCCCCCAGCCCTCCTCCCCCAGACCTAGGAGTCCAGGCCCCCAGCCCTCCTCCCCCAGACCTAGGAGTCCAGGCCCCCAGCCCTCCTCCCCCAGACCTAGGAGTCCAGGCCCCCAGCCCTCCTCCCCCAGACCTAGGAGTCCAGGCCCCCAGCCCTCCTCCCCCAGACCTAGGAGTCCAGGCCCCCAGCCCTCCTCCCCCAGACCTAGGAGTCCAGGCCCCCAGCCCTCCTCCCCCAGACCTAGGAGTCCAGGCCCCCAGCCCTCCTCCCCCAGACCTAGGAGTCCAGGCCCCCAGCCCTCCTCCCCCAGACCTAGGAGTCCAGGCCCCCAGCCCTCCTCCCCCAGACCTAGGAGTCCAGGCCCCCAGCCCTCCTCCCCCAGACCTAGGAGTCCAGGCCCCCAGCCCTCCTCCCCCAGACCTAGGAGTCCAGGCCCCCAGCCCTCCTCCCCCAGACCTAGGAGTCCAGGCCCCCAGCCCTCCTCCCCCAGACCTAGGAGTCCAGGCCCCCAGCCCTCCTCCCCCAGACCTAGGAGTCCAGGCCCCCAGCCCTCCTCCCCCAGACCTAGGAGTCCAGGCCCCCAGCCCTCCTCCCCCAGACCTAGGAGTCCAGGCCCCCAGCCCTCCTCCCCCAGACCTAGGAGTCCAGGCCCCCAGCCCTCCTCCCCCAGACCTAGGAGTCCAGGCCCCCAGCCCTCCTCCCCCAGACCTAGGAGTCCAGGCCCCCAGCCCTCCTCCCCCAGACCTAGGAGTCCAGGCCCCCAGCCCTCCTCCCCCAGACCTAGGAGTCCAGGCCCCCAGCCCTCCTCCCCCAGACCTAGGAGTCCAGGCCCCCAGCCCTCCTCCCCCAGACCTAGGAGTCCAGGCCCCCAGCCCTCCTCCCCCAGACCTAGGAGTCCAGGCCCCCAGCCCTCCTCCCCCAGACCTAGGAGTCCAGGCCCCCAGCCCTCCTCCCCCAGACCTAGGAGTCCAGGCCCCCAGCCCTCCTCCCCCAGACCTAGGAGTCCAGGCCCCCAGCCCTCCTCCCCCAGACCTAGGAGTCCAGGCCCCCAGCCCTCCTCCCCCAGACCTAGGAGTCCAGGCCCCCAGCCCTCCTCCCCCAGACCTAGGAGTCCAGGCCCCCAGCCCTCCTCCCCCAGACCTAGGAGTCCAGGCCCCCAGCCCTCCTCCCCCAGACCTAGGAGTCCAGGCCCCCAGCCCTCCTCCCCCAGACCTAGGAGTCCAGGCCCCCAGCCCTCCTCCCCCAGACCTAGGAGTCCAGGCCCCCAGCCCTCCTCCCCCAGACCTAGGAGTCCAGGCCCCCAGCCCTCCTCCCCCAGACCTAGGAGTCCAGGCCCCCAGCCCTCCTCCCCCAGACCTAGGAGTCCAGGCCCCCAGCCCTCCTCCCCCAGACCTAGGAGTCCAGGCCCCCAGCCCTCCTCCCCCAGACCTAGGAGTCCAGGCCCCCAGCCCTCCTCCCCCAGACCTAGGAGTCCAGGCCCCCAGCCCTCCTCCCCCAGACCTAGGAGTCCAGGCCCCCAGCCCTCCTCCCCCAGACCTAGGAGTCCAGGCCCCCAGCCCTCCTCCCCCAGACCTAGGAGTCCAGGCCCCCAGCCCTCCTCCCCCAGACCTAGGAGTCCAGGCCCCCAGCCCTCCTCCCCCAGACCTAGGAGTCCAGGCCCCCAGCCCTCCTCCCCCAGACCTAGGAGTCCAGGCCCCCAGCCCTCCTCCCCCAGACCTAGGAGTCCAGGCCCCCAGCCCTCCTCCCCCAGACCTAGGAGTCCAGGCCCCCAGCCCTCCTCCCCCAGACCTAGGAGTCCAGGCCCCCAGCCCTCCTCCCCCAGACCTAGGAGTCCAGGCCCCCAGCCCTCCTCCCCCAGACCTAGGAGTCCAGGCCCCCAGCCCTCCTCCCCCAGACCTAGGAGTCCAGGCCCCCAGCCCTCCTCCCCCAGACCTAGGAGTCCAGGCCCCCAGCCCTCCTCCCCCAGACCTAGGAGTCCAGGCCCCCAGCCCTCCTCCCCCAGACCTAGGAGTCCAGGCCCCCAGCCCTCCTCCCCCAGACCTAGGAGTCCAGGCCCCCAGCCCTCCTCCCCCAGACCTAGGAGTCCAGGCCCCCAGCCCTCCTCCCCCAGACCTAGGAGTCCAGGCCCCCAGCCCTCCTCCCCCAGACCTAGGAGTCCAGGCCCCCAGCCCTCCTCCCTCAGACCCAGGAGGCCCGGCCCCCAGCCTCTCCTCCCCCAGACCCAGGAGTCCAGGCCCCCAGCGTCTCCTCCCTCAGACTCAGGAGTCCGGGCCCGCAGCCCCTTAATTCTACTAGACTTGGGTACCTGTCAGGCAGAGCGCAGCCGCAAAGAGGTAGAGCAGAATGGCTCTGGGGAACCCCATTGCCAGAGTATGAGCTGAGTGGGGTCCACCTGGGACAGCTCCTCCTGTGTGATTTGCTGCCTGGCTCGTTCTCCCTGCGGAACCCTAAGCATCCGGCTCCCCAGCCTGGCCAGGATTCCTCCACCCCCCGCCCTCAGCCGACTGGTCTCCTCCTACATAATCATGATGAGGCTAAGATGAGTCCAGGGCCAAGGAGGAGGAGCTGGGGCCCTGGGCTCCTGGATCAGAGAGGAGGGGACCAGGGGCCTATAACTCTTAATTTTGCAGCAAGAGATTTGTTTTCCCAGCACTCTTCCTACCCCCTGCCCATGCTCTGTTCTAGTCCAAGGTTAGCGTATTAATAGCCTCTTGATTTCTTTCTTTTCCTTTTTTAAGAGAGATTTTTGCTATAGGGTGTGTGCTCTTGCTGGAGAGACAGAGACAGAAAGCTAGAAATCATCCCCAGGGGGATGGCCCTGCTGCAATACCTTCTCCCCTTGGGATTTTGGGGTGTGCATGCACACAAACCCAGCACGAGTTTTAAGCTGCAGGGTCTGGGACTCGAACCGTGGGAGTCTAGCAACGTAACCACTATGCTATCTGCTAGTCCCTTGATTTCTTTTTTAATTGCCAGAGAGGCGTGCACTCAGCAGAGACAGACTGAAAAGGAAGAAAGCACCCCCTTCTGGGGTGTGGTCATGCCACCATCCCTTCTCCATTTCTCCATCCTATTTGGATATTAAACGTTTATACGCAATCCACCAGAGCCAGGATTCAAACTGTGGTTGGCCACGTGGCACCGATTCGCTTGACCTCAAGGCTACAGGACTGGCCTTCTTGACTTCTTTTATTTCTTCCCACCCCAACACACACACAATCCACACACTTAGTCAGACACACACATGGCTTCTATGGCCATGCCTCCAGACCTAGAGGCATATACATCCTTCCCTCCACTTTCTTTCCTCCCAGATCACCCTCTCTCCTCCTTGAAGGCTTCCTTGACCCCCATCTTCCCACTTTGTCACCCTCCTCAGCTTCAAGAAGCTCCCTGTCTCCCAACCCTGATCAAACTAGGTTGGGCAGGTGTCTTCTCATCAGGCTGCAATGTCTCAGGGGCCTCCGGATATGTTTTCTATTTGTATAATGAATGAACCAATCAATGCATGAACAGGCATCAAGAGAAAGATAGCGGGAAAGATATGAGAAAGAAACAGTGACAGAGACAGACACAGACAGTGAGAAGGGATTGTGGTGTGGCCATCTCCCCCTGGGGGATTATTTCTCTCTTTCTCTCTCTCTCCGGTGAGCATGTGTGTCCTCTGGCAAAAATCTCTCTCTAAAACACAACAAAACCACCCTCCCGCCACTCTCTTTCAATGGAGTCTAGCTCAGTCTCTCCTATTGTGATAGTCTTAAATAAGGTCTCCTTCGCATATTTTTTTATTTTTATTTTTTTGGAGAGATTTTTGCTATAGGGAATGTGTGCTTGCCAGAAAAACAGAGACAGAGAAACAGAAAATGAGAAATCACCCCCCAGGGGGGATGGCCATGCCACAATCCCTTGTTCTCCATTCTCCTCTTGGGATCTTGGGCACACACGCACACGCACCCGGTGTGAGTTTAAGCCACCAAGTCTGGGACTTGAACAGCGGTCGGCTACATGGGAGTTCAGCGACGTAGCCATTATGTTAACTGTGGTCCCTCCCTCACATATTCAACTCTGTCCTGTGCCATTGTTCTTTGACAGCAGAAACTCGGGCATGGTGGAAACTCACTAGGCATGGCCTCCCTCACCTCTCTCATCATCTTGCCAAATTCCTGCTCCTCCCTTCAAACCTCACTTCCCAGAACCTGTTTCACATCCAAATTACTCTTCCTGCTTCTCTGGTTCCTTTCCCAGCCTTTCTATAGGGGGATTTCCAGAGAGGGGCAGGGTAGCTCTCAGGAGAGTGGAGTCTGGCTAGGAAGGAGGCTGGGTTTTCTGAAGTTCCTGCAGGCAGAGGTGTTGAAGTTCTTCATAGTCATTCCCAGTTTTAGGGATTGAGACTTACAGAGTAGGCAGACCAGACTTATGTGTGTGAGCGCATTCATGTGTACGTATGCATATGTGTGTGTTTCTCTGTGGTTCTGATTGAGTAACCTTCAGGTACTGTTGCAGACTTTGAGATTTCAGGCAGGAAGCTCCTGTATTACAGGAGGAATCACGTGGACACTCCCAAGATCATTACTAGAGATTTTGGTGGGACTCGTGCATCCACGGAGGACACTCCTAATGACCATGGAGATTCTCTATGTCTTTGTAATCATTTTTTCCCTAACCAACAGAGTTTTATGTGTTGCATAATAAGCCACCTAGCATCTTTCAGCTAAAAATGACTAAATTTGAATAAAGATATTACAAAATGAATTAGAACCCAGTTAAAATTAGCTTTGGGGAGGGAACAGAATTCTACTCAATTAAGAAAAACATTTTTATAGATCATAGTTTAGTTTATTGTTTATTTATTTTTATTATTTTATTATTATTATTTTGGAGAAGTTTTTGCTATAGGGCACGTGTACTCGAAAGACCACGAGAGACAGAGAGACAGAAAGTGAGAAATCACCCCCCAGGGGGGATGGCCACACCGCAATCCCTTCTCCTCCATTCTCCTCTTGGGATCTTGGGCACGCACGCACACGCACTTGTGAGTTTAAGCCACCGGGTCCAGGACTCAAACTACAGTTGACACCAGTGGCATAGCCATTACGCTAACTGCTGGTCCCAGTTTAGTTTATTTTTAACACCCATCATGCCATGAATTCATAGGGAATAGGTTCCAGAAGCTCAGGCCCCTTTCCATTGGTTCTCACAAAGTGTGCTTCTCTGGGTGGAGCAGGCTAGCGCTTCAGTTGAACCCGGGTGCCTTTCCCTTTGGCTTCCTTCTTTTCCAGGTCATTTTCCTTCACACGTTTTAGGAAGTTCTCTCTGCTCTTAGAATGCTTAATAAGCTCAATATGCACATTAATTCTCCTGCCAAGAATCTAGGCTTTAACTTGTTTACAATGCCAACAGCATGCTGGGTAACGTTGTAGACTCCTCCAGTTTTGCCATGGTAACATCTGTGGTTCCCTTTTTGAACAATACGCGTTCCCTTGATGTCTACAGTACCACCTTTCTTGTAAACTCACATGTATGTTGCCAAAGCAACCACTCCATGTTTTCTAAAAGGCCTAGAGAACATATATAGGGTGCCTATCCTCTTTGCCTTTGTCGTCATTTTGGTGACTTACTGGAGGATGGTAGTTCTGGCCAAAAGGCTGTCATCATTTTTAATAATTGAATTTTAGTAACTGAGTAATTAATTACTTAAGAGACTGGAGGAAATTGTTTATTTATTTTTATTATTTTATTATTATAAATAATAAAGCTCCTGTAATACAGGAGCTTCCTGCCTCAAATCTCAAATGTCATTGTCATGAAGGTATTATGTTATAAACTTTTTTTCCCCACAAATAGGACTTTTTACTTGTTACTAGTAAAAGTCTGAACTTTAAACTGATTCTTGGACTGGCGGTTCATATCCATCAGCTCATTCAACTTAGGCGCCCGTCTCATCCCCAGTAGCTTTTTTTTTTTTTTTTTTTTTGAGATGTTTTCTGTCGAGGACAGCTG